AATAAACATACATGTGCATGTATCTTTATAGCAGCATGATTTGTAATCCTTTGGTTATATGCCGAGTAATGGGATGGCTAGGTCAAATGGTATTTCTAGTTCTAGATCCTTGAGGAATGGCCACACTGTCTTCCACAAACTTGAACTAGTTTACAGTCCCACCAACAGTGTAAAAGCATTTCTATTTCTCCACATCCTCTCCAGCCTCTGTTGTTTCCTGACTTTTTAACGAGCACCATTCTAACTGGTATGAGATAGTATCTCACTGTGGTTTTGATTTGCATTTCTCTGATGACCAGTGATGATTAGCATTTTTTCGTGTGTCTGTTGGCTGCATAAATGTCTTCTTTTGAGAAGTGTCTGTTCATATCCTTTGCCCACTTTTTGATGGGTTTGATTTTTTCTTGTAAATTTGTTTAAGTTCTTTGTAGAATCTGGATATTAGCCCTTTGTCAGATGGGTAGATTGTAAAAATTTTCTCCCATTCTGTAGGTTGAAACATGGGCAAGTTTCTAAGTCACTCTTGGTCACAGTTGCTTCTCCTGTAAAATAAAGATTTGTGATGTGTTTATTATGGTATCGGGCACATAGGAAAAACTCAATAAATGATTAATTTCTTTAATACTATTATTATTACCATTGGTTGCATGGCTATATTTCTTGCTCTAAGTCTGCATCATCTCTAGACAATTGAAATAATAATAGTTCTACCTCCATCTTTGAACTGTTTTGAAAATTAAATAAAATATGTGTTAAAAACACATTTTAAACCTTGATAATAATATTCCACACATTGTTGAATACATAAAACAATAAGAATCCGTGTTCTGGAGGAGTTTGATTTCCAATGGGACACATGGACAATAATGTCATGAGAAAATTATATACTGTGTTTGAAAGTTACAGGTGTTGGGGGCAGAGGAGTGAGGGGACATAAAACAAGGGAGCTCATGAGTACTGGCTAAGGGGAGTATGATTTATTTTGAGTAGACAAGTGTCAAGTGTGCCTCTTATTAAGTGACATTTGAGCAATGATGGAGTCGGGAGTGGGTGAGCCAGAGATCTGTTGGGAGTGTGTCTCAGGTGATACAGTGACCCCTAGGGGTACGTGCCTAGGGTGCTCATGCAGTAACTGTCAAAACAGTGTCCATGGAGGAAAGGGAAGGAGAGAGAGAGTCATAACAAATAGGCCGGGAGTGGTGGCTCATGCCTATAATCCCAGCACTTTGGGAGGCCGATCACCTGATGTCGGGATCACCTGATGTTGGTGTATCACCTGATGTCGGGAGTTCAAGACCATCCTGACCAAAATGGAGAAACCCTGTCTCTACTAAAAATACAAAAAAATTAGCTGGGCATGGTGGTGCATGTCTGTAACCCCAGCTACTCAGGAGGCTGAGGCAGGAGAATCACTTGCACCTGGGAGGCAGAGGTTGCAGTGAGCCGAGATTGTGTCATTGCACTCCGGCCTGGGCAACAGGAGGGAAACGCCATCTCAAAACAAACAAACAAAACAAATAAGGTCAAAGTCACAACTGGGGAAGGAGGGGTGGCTCGGATATTTAACCTTGATAACCTTTTTAAGCTAAGTGTCAAACTTTTTCTTGGAAGTTTTTCAACCACAAGGAACAACCACTTGTGAAAAGATACAAAAAGCATGAGTTTTGGGATCTAGTAGACTGGGGTCACACTTATGTGATTCTGGGCAAGTTATTCAACCCCTCTGAGCCTCAGCTTCTCATGTGTAAAGTGGGGACAATACCTTGTAACGTTGCTGGAATGTGTATAATTAATACAGCATCCAGCATCCAAATCAGAGCTCCAGAAATGGCAGCGAGCTCGAAGAGTGGCAGAGAAGCATTCCTTTTTCTCATTGACAGCAGTGCCATGAGGGACAGGCTTTGGACCTTCAGTGCCCACCTTGTTGTCAGTATTATTTAACTTAGTGCAGTAACTCAGGCAATCTGGCATGTCTGTCATCGTGTCCGTTGACTTGACTGTAAATCATATGAGATTCAAAATACAACCTGAGAGCTTTCATGTGCCTTGTGCCATTTTCAATCATAAATATTGCTCCACTCTTGTATTAGAGCCAAGAGGTGATGTTAAAATTAGTGGCATTTTTGTGAAGTGTTGAACTAGCTATTACTGACTTGACCGAGGGTATTCGTAGCTGACAATTATAAGCTAAAGTGACATGATTGCAGGTGTCTGAGTTAAAGAGTGTAATATATGATTAGCCCTATTCCATTAACTCGAATCCCAGTGTTGTGCATGTGGAGATAGTAAGGCACTCTTCCATGAGCAAGTTGCAGCCTTCTTTCTTCTACTCAGTGTTTTGCTAGAGCCATTTATTTCTTCTCCTTTGCTACCTTGTACTTCTCCAACTCCTCCTGTACACAGCTTACCAAGGTGGTTGCCCTAGAGAAATACCTGTACCACACCAGCCCTTTGTTCCAAAAATTCCCATTCATTGCTGTGAGGAAACAAGCAATGACCTTGACCCCAATCAAGCTTACAGTTTGGCTAGGGCACAGACATGAACAACTACACACAGGAAATGTGTAGGGTGCTAATATAATGAACAATGGTGGAAGTGGGGAACATTCTTTAAGGAACTGACCTTTGAGTTGAGCTCTAAGGAGAGTTAACTGACAAAATCATTTGTGTCGGAGTGAGGAGGTTGGAGGGATGGGAGGTAGGAGTGAGTATTCCGGGAGAAACCATATTTTCAATCACTCTAAGACAGAAAGTGTGTTACTTATATCTTTGTTGGCACCAAAGATAAAAATTTATATCTTTGTTGGCACCAAAGATATAAATTTATACCTTTGTTGGCACCTACAAAGATATGAATAATATCCAGTCACTCTGGTGTTCTTATTATAGGAAGCATATACAGACTCTTTACCATGTGTCAGGCTCAGCACTAACCCCTTTACATGTGTTCTCTCTGTTTTTACTCACACAACCCTGTGATACAGGTGTTACTATTATTCCCATTTTACAGGTGAGGAAACTAAGGCATTCAGTAAGTGACAGAGCTGAGATTCAAACTAAAAGAGGCTGATGTGAAAGCCTGAACTCTTCCCTCCCATGGAGAGAAACATAATTAGTCTACTCAAAATCAGAGACTCTTGTGTTTCTTTTTTTTTGTACATGCTTTATTGAATAAGCTACAGATACAACCCCAGACAGATAAAATATTTAGCAGAATTGTTGATTTTCTTGAAGAGAAGTTTTCTAATTCAATATAAGCTTAAACTTTGATTAGCATTGACAGCCTGTTTCTTTCAGTATTTTGAAAGATTCTGGCTACAGTTGTTTTATTTATTTATTTTATTTATTATTTTTTTTTTTTACAATTTAAATAGATTTTATTTTTTAAGAGCTGTTTCAGTTTCACAACAAAATTGAGCAGAAAGTACTGAGAGTTTCCACATGCACCTGCCCCCACACAGGCATGGCTTCCCCTGCTATCAACATCCCACACCAGGGTGGTACATTTTTTACAATCGATGAATCTACATTAACAAGTTGTTATCACTGAAAGTCCAGAGTTTACATTAGTGTTCATTCCTGGCGTTGTACATTCTATGGGTTTGACAAATGGCGTGTATCTACCATGACTCTTGTGTTTCTTTCATGTTAGGCCAGGGTTTCTCGACATCTTCACAATATTGATCTTTTAGGCCAGATCATTGTTTCTATGGGAGGCCATCCTGGGCATTGTGGGATGTTTAACATAGCCCTGCTTCCTTCCTGAAAGATACAAGTAACAGTGTGCTCCAACCAGTGATGACAATCAGAAATATCTCCAAACTGGCCAGCTATTATTAGCGAGGAGGGAGCAGCATCACACCTCGCCACCACTGCACTGAGAATCACTGCATTACACAGTTCTCAGAGGACAGGATGAAAGGATGAAGCTGTCTCTTAAGTCTTCTCTCCTTCCTTTCTCCCTCCTTTTCTTTTTTACAATGTTTTCGAAGTGTCCATATGTATCCTCTGCGTACAGGGGATGTATTATCATCCATATAGTTTATCACACAGTAATTTGTATATAGAGGTTGCTTAACAAATGCTTGGTGAATTTTTGCCAACTGCATCCCTAAATGCCAAGAATCCTAAGTGGACCGGGTCTATTCTGAACTCCAAACTTGATGTTGAGAAAGTTGACTCCTGCTTTCTGGTCACTTGGCGTATCTTTTGTGTGTCCCTAGAGATCTGGCTTAGCTGATTTCCTGTAGGCCAGAAAGACCCACTTGGATGCTTATCAACCTTTACACGGAGCCGGCAGTTCACCTGCTAAGAACCTAGTGGAGGGTGACACACATTAGTTTGCCAATAAATTCTGATGAATGCATGGATGAACTGTTACAATTAAGTCAAGCTATATGACCAGGCCTGCAGTTTGAGACATTGTTTAAAGCACCTACCCATTTTCTCCAGCAATTCTTTCTTTCATTTGTGGATGAAGTCTAGATTTGGGAAATATATCCCGAATAGATTTTCTATTTAGCCCCCTTGAAGTAGTCAGGCAATGGAAGGGAGAGCTGATTTCTGGGCAGTTTTTCTGGCACTGTAGCTTCTGTATCACTGGAGTGTCAGTTGTTGTCAATAGAGAGAGCTCAGAGAATCTTAAATCTGATGATAACACAAAAGATGGCTCCCAAAATATGCATTTAAATCAGGCAGCATCTTTATTGGGTGTGTTAGTTCCAGGCATTCATTGCTTTACTGCCTCTCAATACCTACAGCCCAGAATTGCCACATCTTGAGGGCTATCCGTTGGTATTCTTTGTTGCTTCGGAAGTACAGCACTGTCCTCTCTGTGATTACATGTAGTAGAAGAGAGTCCTTTTGTAATTATATTTCATGGAAACTGTTTCTATAATTTCAATTACTTTCCTCAACCCCTCTACATGTACTCCCAGCGGCTCAAATAGTCGCTGAGTTATTTCTAATCAGTGTCCCTGTTCTTTCTCTCTTGCCAGAAGGAGGGACGTGTGAAGTGATAGCAGCACACCGATGTTGTAACAAGAATCGCATTGAGGAGAGGTCACAAACAGTAAAGTGTTCCTGTCTACCTGGAAAAGTGGCTGGAACAACAAGAAACCGGCCTTCCTGCGTCGACGGTAGGTACCTGGCTTTACCTCTTGAAAAGTTCATATGGCATTCACTGTACCTAATGTAATTTCTCATTTTATCTGCTATGGTTCCAGATAATGAAGAAGGTGCATCCAAAGTGTTAAAAAGTTATACAATTGCCAGCCTCAGCAGAGTTTGAATTCTTTTGTCTCTGGTGCTATGATTTCAATGTTTTTTCCCCAAAAAAATCCCTGTTGAAATTTGCTTGCCATTGCAGCATTGAGAGGTGGGGCCTTCGGGAGGTGATTGGGCTGTGAGGAACTGTATTAGTCCATTCTCACACTGCTATAAGGAAATACCTGAGACTGGGTAATTTATAAAGAAAAGAGGCTTATTTGGCTCATGGCTCTACAGGCTGTACAGGAAGCGTGGCTACGGAGGCCCCAGGAAACTTTCAATCATGGCAGAAAGTGAAGCAGAAGCAAGCAGGTCTTACATGGCCAGGAAAGGAGGAAGAGAGCAAAGGAGGAGGTACTACACAATTCTAAACAACAAGATTTTGTGAGAACTCACTCACTATCATAAGAACAGCAAGGGGGAAGTCTGCCTCCATGAGCCAGTCACCTCTCACCAGGCCCCTGTTCCAACACTGGGGATTATAATTTGACATGAGATTTGGACAGGAACATAAATCCAAATCATATCAGGGAGCCTGCCCTTAGGGGTAGAACTAATGCTAATATAAAAGGGTAAGTGTATACTTCTCTTGCACACTTGCCTTTCTGCCTTTCATCATGTGATGATGCTGCAAGAAGACCCTTACCTGCTGCCTTGATCTTGTACTTCCTAGCCTTTGGTACTGTGAGCTGATAAATTTCTATTCATTATAAAGTACTCAGTCTCAGATCAGATATTCCATTATAGCAGCACAAAATGAACTAAACTTCTGGGTTCTGGGGTTTCAAATAGCTTTATTTTGAAATTTTTTTAGAGCAAATTAGGATAAAGGAATTTTTTTTAGGTCAAGAAACTTGAAGGTCCAGCTCATTTGGGAAATGATTTTGGACTGAGGCTATAGAGAATGATGATGGTGATAATGATAATAAATACAGCAACACCTAACAGTCATTCAACACATATTTAATGAGCACTTACTATATGCCAGGTACCACTCTGGATGCTCCAGAAAAATTGATGAATAAATAGAATTGTCCTGAGTCCTCAGTATGGGTCAAACCCTGTGCTAAACACTTCTCATGCATTATTTTATTTAATCCTTCCAACAATTCGACAAAGCAGTATATTTTTTCTTTATTGTGATATAACAGATCCCAAAACTTAACAGCTTAAGACAGAAAATATTATGTCATAGTTTCTGTGGGTCACGAATTAAACTTATGAGGTTCTGGCTTAGAGCATCTCATGTGGTTGCAGTCAAGATCTGAAGGTTTGACTGATATGGCAGAATGGTTTTAAAAAGGCTTGTTCACATGGCTATTGGGAGGTGGTCTTGGTTCCTTGCCTTGTGAACACCTTCTCATAAAAAGCTTGGTGTAAAAAGCTTGAAGTAGCTGGCTTCCCTCAGAATGAGTAATCCAAGAAAACAATACAGAAGCCTTTATACGTCACCTCAGAAGTTACACTTTGTTATTTCCACAATATCCTACAGGTTATACCCACCAGCCCCTATTCATTGTGGTGGTAGACTACAAGGGCTGGAAGACCAGCAGGCAGGGATCATTGGGGGGCACCATGGAAACTGATTAGCATAAGGAGATACATTTTTCTCTACCATTTTCAACATGTAGAAACCGAGGCTTGGAAGGGTTGAATAGTGTTCCATTCATCCCATGGTTGATAACCCATGGCTCGAATGACTCTTCAGCCCAGCATAATGGACTCTAATACCAAATTTAGACCACCACCTTTAAGACTATTTTATATGTTACTGCCAAACAATGAGTCCAGGGTGCAAAGGGACTATAAATCTCTCCTCCCATCTTTGTGTTTCATAATTTAGAGCTGGGTGTGCATTGATTTTCAAATCCTTTATTTAAGAAATCAGGAGGAGGACTCAAAGAAATGAGTCACTTGCTTAGTTCACATAACAGGACATTGAACCTGAATCCCTTGGCTTGGTGTTCATTGTTCTTCCTCTAGATATACATAAGGAAGGACACTTTCTAGATCGATTCATGTTATGTATTTTCATTATGGATCAGTAGGTGGTTAGAAAGAGAAACACACTCAAGCTAGGCTAAGTAAAGAGGAAGTATTTTAAGGAAATAAAGGAATCTCGGTGAACCAATTATAGGAAATTCAGCCAAACCTCTTGGAATTTGTAAGTTCTTCAGGCAGCTGTCATCTCATTTTCTTTGTTCATGGAACATACTGTCTCTGATCTCTGTTTGCCTAATTCTCTCCTGTGTAGACTGTCTCTTTTCAAGATTTTTATTTTTACCTTCTCATAAATTAGAGAATGATATAAGGCTTTTACTTCCATGGTACTGACTCTAATCTCTCTTAGCATGATTGTATTGCTTCAGGGCACATATACATTTGACTCAGTTTCTGTGTCTTAATACATTGTCTGAGAAGACAAGATGTGATTGGCTCAAGTTAGGCCAATGCGTCAACCTTTGCCCAACTAGTCACAGTCAGAGGAGCAAGCTTATGTGGCATATACAGCTGTCAATTATATGCCATGGGAAGGTCAAGCTATTTTATTTTTATTTTTTAGAGACAGGGTCTTGCTCTGTCACCCAGGTGGTATGCCATGGCACCATCATGGCTTACTGCAGCCTCAAACTCCCAGGCTCAAGCAAACATTCTCCCTCAGCCTAAGTTTTCTTTTATTTTCTGTAGAGACGAGGTCGTGCTATGTAGCCTAGGCTTGTCTCGAACTCCAGGGCTCAAACAACCCTCCCGCCTAGGCCTACCAAAGTGCTAAGATTACAGGGATGAGCCACCACGCCCAGTCAGGTCAAACTGTTTTTTAAAGGATGTAGAAAAGTCAAGTTTGGGGATATACTGGGGCTAGTTTTCAACTGGGGCAATTTCTCCCAGGGATCATTTGATAATGTCTGGAGATATTTAGGTCTACACATTTGTCACAATAAGGGAGCTGCTACTGATATCTAGTGGGTAGAGGCCATGAATCCTATTGAACATCCTGCAATACGCAGGACAACCCCTGCTCCCCTGAATCCCCACAATGAAGAATTCTCCAGCTCAAAATGTCAATGATACTGAGGTTGAAAAACTAGCACTATGATTATTTACTTATTCTACACTACAGTCAACACAGTGAACACCTCTAATGCAGGGAAGGCAGGCAGTTAGATGAGTAAAGCTATTTCCCTCTCTCTTAAAGAAGAAACTCTTGGCCTAGAAGCCAATAAGCATTATAAAATAAAACCATGATGGTTTCTCATGTTCTTTGCCAAAGAAAGCCTTGAAGCCGTTAACTATAAATCTTCGTTTTGTTTCCAGTTCATTTTTATCTCTAATGATCTAGAAATAGAATTGCCTTTAGGATTTGGATATAAAACACAACATGCAATGCATTGCTTATGCTGACAGAGGGGGAAATGGTATCTAGCCCTAAGATTTGTGAGAAGTTAAGCCACATAACAGTAATATTTTTATCTCAGGAAAACTTTGTTCGACTTTGGAAAATCTGAACTCTTTGGTGTGGTTGGTTCAAACGAAAGGGCTATCCTTTCTGTCTTCCAGGCAAAACTCAATAAAGTATTGAGTGTTCTTTATTCTCATGTTTATTGCTTATATTTTTGGTAACATTCTACTCCAAAATCCTTCAATCCATTGGCATGTATGGACAAGTCTATTGTGTTGCTGTGATCAAAATTGTTTTGGTGGCCTAGATCTCTGAATGAAAATTAAATATAAAGTATGAATATAAATTAAAATTTCAGTGTAGTTATTAACATCATGGACTGAGAAATTTGATATACCTGGATGGAATCACAGCTGTAACTATTACTGGTAGAATGACATTTTTGATGGAATGACATTTGCTTTCTAACCTCAGCTTCCTCATCTGTATTTTTGATAGAATGATTAATTTGCTTCCTAAACTCAGTTTGTTCATCTGTAAAACAGGGATTATAGGCATTTCTACTTTTTAAGATTGTTCTGGGGATTAAGGAAATCTTCTATATAATGTTTTTTGCACAATGTCTGACTCCTGTCAAAGGCTCACTAAATGATAATATCTGTTTTCTATCTGACTAGTAAATGTGGATAATCCTTAGAGAGAAACTTTTTATATGAGTTTTGTTCCATATTAATTGAATACGGTGGAATTTTAGCCATCATCTTTTCTTGGAAATGCTTCAAACTAATTATCATGGATATTACTAATACTGGTAAGTCATCTTCAGGAATGCATGTTTATAATAGGAATTTTGAAAACTTCAGAGATACATTCATGCACTAAAATCACCCATGATATCATTGCCCAGGGATTATTACTACATAGTAAGATAACATATGTCCTTCCAGTCTTACCCCGCTATAAAAGAACAAACTCACATTGTAGGTATTTTATTGAACTAAAATGCTGTAGCAAAGTTTTATGGATGGCTTGTTTCACTTAATATATGATGACCATTTCCCAAGTGAATACATATTCTTCAAAAAATTATTTTTAATAGCTATATGGGTTTTTCAGAGGTGGATACACCATTTATTTAACTATCCTCTCCGCTTTATGGCATTTGCAGTGTTTCTTGCATTCCCAATCTCAGTTGCCTTAGACAGACATCAACTTCTCTGCATGACAGCAGTTGATAATTTATACACCACGTTTGTCCTAAACATATTCTGACTTATGCAGTGAATCTCCCATGGTAAATGTTCCAATTGCTCTTATTTGTCTTCCTCTGAAATTGCAGGTCAGTTGCTTTTCACAGTGTTTTCAAAAACAAGAGAACAGATATCATTTTAAAAGAAGCATATATTAGATTGCTTTAAGATTGAGAATCTGAGAGCAGATTATTGAAAATAGAACAGAAAATTTGGGGTA